TTTTAAAAAATCAGGTATCCCTGAGTCATTTGATATCTTAAGTTTTTTCTAAGAAGCATATGTTCAAAACAGGCGACGTTTTGAGAGCATTTAATGAGAATTGTAAATTCCAGTCAGTAGAGTCATTGCACTACCCTTGGTTGGAATCTGACAAAATTCTGCTCTGTCCACGCCAGTGCCCTCTTCTGAGCCAACAGGAGATTTAGATGGGTGACACCCTGCAGAACAGAGCCTGGTCCCGGTGTGCCTCAGCTGAGATTTGCCTTCTAAATGGAAATCAGTTTGAATGTGGCAGAGTGTCTTCAAAGCTGTGAACTACACACAGGACTCAGACACTTAGGTGCCTGGTGCCAGTGGCCCTGCCCCCTGCTATCACCTCAGCAGGAAAGCTGGGGAGGGCACAGACAGTAGGCTCATGGTTGATATGAAAGCCTTCCCTCTATCAGGGCAAACACCCATAGCAGACTTAAAAAGACAGTCATCTTTTAAGATGTTTAAACAAATCTGCGTAGAAGAGGTGCTTATCATCGGGTAAGTCAGGGTTCCAAAGAGTCATTTGGAAGACATTTCTGAGTGACTTCTATATAGATTTTTTAAATTAAATGGCTTACGGGCTGGGCACAGTGGCTCACACCTGTCATCTCAGCACTTCAGGAGGTCTGCGGATCACTTGAGGTCAGGAGTTCAAGACCAGCCTGGCCAACGTGGTAAAACCCCATCTCCACTAAAAAAAAAAAAAAAAAAAAAAACAAAAATTAGCCAGGCATGGTGGTGCATGCCTGTAGTCCCAGCTTCTTGGAAGGCTGAGGTAGGAGAATTGCTTGAACCTGGGAGGCAGAGGCTGCAGTGAGCCAAGATCGCGCCACTGCACTCCAGCCTGGGTGACAGAGTGAGGCTCCATCTCACAAAAACAAAACACAAAAAAATTAAACGGCTTAGGCTAAACTTTTTCTTTCACAAATATTATTTCACACCTTCTTCAAGTCCTTAAGCCCTTGACAAACTCAAGAGCATTTCCAACAAGGTCCTGGCCAGTGAGGCCCACACAGTGTTTGCTCCAGTTCTTAACGAGTCATAGGTAGAGCATGGCAAAGTGCCAATAGGTATGGCTGGAGTGGGCCAGGATTGGAGCAGTCTGAACCATGCCATGGGAGACCCCCTTTAAGAAAAAGCAAATCTCCATGAGATATGCTTTTTCTTAAGTATGCAGAGAACGAGGCCTTGGAAAGAGGCTGTGTAAGTAAAGGAGCCTGAAGCATCATTAGGTTCCCAGTAAAGCCACCTCTAGGGCTGTTATCTGTGTTTTAAGTTAGCAAAGGATGTTTGCAAATAGAAGTCTCCAAAGTGCACCCAACTCTGCATCAACCCCAACAGGGAACACAAGCTCTCAGGAGCTTAACCAACCGCTGCTGACAACCACCTTCTCCGAGAAGGTTCTCACGGGTGTGCAGGAGCTCTTTGCAGGCTTAGGTGGCAGAGAGGTGATCAGGGGAGAGGAAAAGGGCCAGTAGCTGATGGGGTAGTGCAGAGTAGAAGAATGGACAAGAGAGGGGGAAAAAGACAGAAAGTGGAAGAGAGCCCACCTCTCCCCAGAGAGGGAGGGTGAAATAAACACAGGGATGAGGAGAGCCCACCTCTTCCCAGAGGGAAGGTGAAAGAGACAGGGTTGGGAGGAGAGGAGCCCTCGTCTGCCCTCAGGCTCCTACTGTGTGACCTTGACCATCGCCTCTAGCTCCACCCTCAAACATATTTTTCTGTGAGTCTGTGAGAGTCAGTCAGAAGTACTTGGGCTGATCCCTAAAACAGAATATGCCAATTAGTCTTCAGTGGAAAAGACTTTCTTCAGGTCAACAGAGACAAGCAAATCTAATTTGCAATTTCCTTGTTCCTGAGAGCCGGGGGGTATTGTGTGGACAGAAAGCATTAGGATGAGTGAGGGCTCCAGAGGGGAAGCTTGAAAACGAGATGCCTTGGTCCAGCAAGAGTGCTGGCTCGCCAGCCGAACTCTCTGAAGCGGCAGCTCAGTCCTGGGCTCATTCCCAGGCCCGGCCTGCTGGAGGCTGTGCGCAGTTACAGGAAATGGGAGTGCCGCTGTGGCTCAGCTGCCTCTGTCAGGAAGAATACGAAACGGTGATGTTCATAAAACATTCTTTGCAAAGCTCAGTCTACCCAAACCCTGGTATAGTTTCCAGAAGATGAATGTTTAATCAGTGAGGCTGGTCTGCCTCCACCTCTGCCCTGTCAAGACTGAGCCCATGTTCTGAGCAGAGCTGACAGCATGGGAGAGTGCGAGCAGCCTACACAGGCCACAGCTCTCTGCAGCCTGACAGCCTCCTGCTCAGTAGCCCCCACTAGAAGGGACCTGCACCCTGAGCTGAAATTCTCTGCAAGAACAGAGAAAGCTACTCTGTTGCCCACCTGACAGCTTGGAGAAGCACCGCTGTGGCACAAATGATTCTGGTGATGAGTAGAAAAATGAGTGCATTAAAGGATTGTTAACACTTCACAGTCAGCCCCTTCCAAGTACTTTTTATTAATTTATTTATTTAGAGACAGGGTCTTGCTCTGTCGCCCAGGCTGGAGTACAGTGGCACGATCTCAGCTCACTGGAACCTCTGCCTCCTGGGCTCAAGTGATTCCCCTGCCTCAGCCTCCTGAGCAGCTGGGACTACATTTGTGTGCCACCATGCCCAGCTAATTTTTGTATTTTTTTGTAGAGATGAGGTTTTGCCATGTTGCCCAGGCTGGTCTTGAACTCCTGAGCTCAGGTGATCCTGCCTGCCTTAGCCTCCCAAAGTGCTGGGATGATAGGCGTGAGCCACCGCGCCCAGCCGCCCTCCCAAGTAGTTTCTAATGGCCTTTCCTTTCCTCTGAATAACCCCACTCCCCTCCGCTCCCCCGGACCCCACTTTGACACCTTTCTTTCTCAGGCTTTACCCAGCTTCTCAGTGTTTTGCAATTTCACTACCCGGGTTGAAGCCACAGAAAAGCAAGGATCTTCCGTGAGACTTGCTTGCCCTCTTCATAACTCCACTATGAGCTTTACTCTTGCCTAGGACCTAGTCTTTGAGCATCTAAAACCTGCAGATTTCTGAAGACTGCAGCCCCTCAACCTTCTCTTCTAGGCTGGAGGGTGGCTCAGGGGTGGCCTGCCTACTACTTGTGATTTTAGAAAGAAACCCATGAGGCCGGGAAGGAAGCGTGCACTGCACGAAATAAGCACCTTGGGATCGGCTTCAGCTGAACTTCCTCCCTCCAGTCGAGGCTGTATTGTGCATGTTGGCCCTGCACGGCTCCGGCTGCAGGGGTATGAGCAATGGCAGTTCTGGGCATGTCTCTTATCAGGAAGAGGTTGGCACACCTAAATCACAAAGCCATTGGTGAGTAGTTCTTAAGTAACTCTAGCCTTCTGATAAAGAGGAGGCGATGAAAGACCAAATAACATTTATTAAGCATCTGCTGTGTCAAATGCCTAATAGTGGAAAGAGGTCTACCCCAGCTTCAAATCCTGGATCGATCCCTTACTTTCATCTGTAAGGTCTTGATCACGCTGCCCAACCCATCCGTGTCCCAGGGTCTTCATTTGTGAAGAGGGGAAGCAAGCTCGTCGTAAGAACTCTGCAGAAGTGGAGCGGAGCAGCCAGTTTCAAGCTTGAGCACAGAGTCCCAAGTTGCTCCCCTAATATCCATGCCTATTCCTCCTCCTTCCCATCGAAACACTGCTCCTGAATCTCACTGAGAAGGTGCTGCACAGGCTTAAGTTGAAGGTGTCCAAGTCCCGTTAAGTCTCTTCTAGCTGTTCTGAAAGTTGCCCATAGTTCAAGGAGAGGGTCTGCAGAGCTATCGGGGTGCCCGTTGCATAGGCTGAACAAGTGCTTACACTATCTTCTTGGCCCAGTGAGCAAAGGGAAACAGGACACAAGGCAGATGTCATGTGACTTAAGTGGAAGAATAGGAAACGTCTTCTCAAGTGTGGGCATTCTCAGACCACAGAGGCTTGGGGAATGGCTCTTGAAGCTGTTGGAAATTTAGCAGTGGAGAATTCTAGGCTTTTACCAAACAATCTGATCAGACCCTCAAGGGCTTCTGTCACCCATGTACTTTTCTCTCTGTTTTTGGTGGTAAAATAGACACGGCATAATATTGGCCATTTTAACCATTTGTAAGTATAAGTTCAGTGGTATTAAATCCGCTGATGTTGTTCTGCAACCACCACTACCACCCATCTCCAGGGCTTCTTCATCTTCCCTGGCTGAAACTCTGCATGCCTTAAACACCAGCTCCCTCCTCCTCCCGTCCCCCACCCCAGCAGCCACCATTCTTCCTTCTCTCTAAGAACATGACCCTCCAGGGACCTCGTATCAGTGGAATCACAGTTATTCGTCATTTTGTGACTGGCTTGTTTCACTTAGCATGCTGTCCTCAAGGTCCACCCATCTAGTGGATGTGTCCGAATGCACTTCCTTTTTAAGGCTGAATCACTAACATTGTGTGTCTACACTGCACCTTGTCCCTGCTGTCGTTCATCAGTGGACACTTGAGTTGCTTTTGACTTTTGACTTACTGTCAATAACATTGCTATGAACATGGGTGTACAACCCCTGTATTTTTAAAACAATGTGGTTTAAAAAATGGTTTTCAGCATACAAGAAACAGCCACCCACTGCTGTAGGTGGCCTGTGACTCTGTCCAAGAGATTTTTCAATTGTGTCCTTTAAATTGGGAACCAAGGCCACTGGCTTCATGATCAGTGCTGCATGTTATGACCGGGCACCCGTGGTAACTTCATTTGAGCAGAGGCGATTGCAGCACCAGGCCCTGGGTGTCTCTCCCAATGCACCTGGGCCACTCTACGTGCTCCCTGCCTGGCTGACTGAGGTGTCACTAACGGTTTCTCTCTTCTCGCACCCCGCCCTCCCCGCCCGTGCCCTGTCCCCGTCCCTCCCCACCTCTGCCCCCTCCTCTCCACCTTCTCTTTGCTGGCGCCTCCTGCTCTCCAGTGCGACCAAGACCAGTGCATTCAGAGCACCAAATTCGTTTTGCAGGCCGCGGCCACCCCCCTGCTGCAGAGCGAGCCCAGCCTCACCAGCGACGAGCTGCACCTACCCGGGAAGCCCGGCCTGGGCACGCCCTGCGCCAGCCTCACACTGGGCCCGCCCACGCCGCCCGCCTCCATGCCCAACCTCGCCGAGGCCACGCTCGCGGACGTGATGCCCCGGAAAGATGAGCACATGGGCCACCAGTTCCTGACGCCCGATGAGGCGCCCTCGCCCCCCAGGCTGCTGGCGGCGGGCAGCCCCCTGGCGCACAGCCGCACCATGCACGTGCTGGGCCTGGCCAGCCAGGACTCCCTGCACGAGGACTCCGTGCGCGGCCTGGTGAAGCTCAGCTCCGTGTGACCCGTGTGGCCCCAGGCTGGGGAGGCACCAGAGGCTCCTCCACGGGCAGCAGGAGTGAGCGGAGGGGTGTGCTCCACAGCGACTCCCCCAGCCAATGCCACGGTGGAGATAACAGCCCCAGGTCTGGGGGACAGAGACCACTTAGAACGGCACAGGGCGGCCGGCCCCGGATGCTGAGAGCTTGGTTTCATTTGAATTTTCTTCCCCAACCTGAGTGCTTTGACACCAATGGAAACAGAGAAGTCGCTGCTTTCTTTTGGTGGGCCTGGGGACGGGGACCCTCCAGGGGTAGAATCGGAGTGTGTCTGCCCGCCCTTGTGACAGACACACGGAAGGCTTCTGACGCTTGTGGCCAGACTGCAACTGCACTTACGTGTTATGCTACTAATATTTGAAACAGACATGCCATTCCATTTGTTAATTTTAAAAAAAGAAAAAAAAAATCCTAAAGGGAAAAAACCGACCAGGTGTGGATCTGCATGCCACGCTGCCGTCTGTGTTACAGTGGTGTTGCTGTTTCCAAGGAAGTGCTGCTTTCTTTTTCTTTTTTTAATTTTGTGAATTTTTAAGTGCTGTTTTGTTGGAAGACAGTGCAACGAACCGAGACTGATGGACAGTGTCCTCACTCAGCTTATTGGGCTGCAGCATCTGTGGAAAGGTGGCACCAGGGCTGCAGAGGGCGGCTGGGGTTCCGTCGTGTCGGGGGTCATTTCACCTTCTGTTTGGCCGCTCGATGAGGTCTCGTGTTGAGGTATTGTGTGCCGCGCCCCCCACAGTCTTCACCTCCGTGTGTGATGAAACTTCCCGTGGACAGCCAATAAAATGACGTCCTCTGTTATTTTGGATCTGCGTACAGTTATCCTTAATAGCATAAATGAAAACAAAATCATCCAGATGGGGAGAGTTTTTTCTTGAAATATCCCTAGTGAGGAATAGTCCCCAAACAACCAAAAGTCAAATCTTTGAACTGGGAGATATTTATAGAATGATTTCTTAGATAAGAGGCGAGCTTTCCATCATTTTTTTTCTTTAATTCTCTCTTTTTGACACCATCTTAGTGGAATTTGCTCTACGTTTGCAGTTTGCCACGCAACAGTTGATTGGAAGTAGGGAGAGGGGAGGGGACGCTCAGGGAGAAGGGGTTCTGTCGGGCGTCTTCTGGGCTTCCTTCCGTGTTAATGTGTCACTCAATCCCAGAAGTGCAACTTGAGGTCCTAGTAAAGGTATCAGAAAATGAGGAGGAGAAATCGGCTTACGGTTTGGGCTGAGATTATGTAGGTCATCATCCTTCCCTGGACACTAATCAGAATGAAATTAAGAAAATGACCACTTTGTTCACTTTCATTGATCGCCTAGAAGGGAACTGGCTCTGGACTTAGGGAGTGTGTCACTATGGAGGCAGCCGCAGGGGACACAGCAACTCCTCTCCTGACTTCTTTCCAGACCATAAATCTAACAGCTAAAGCTACTCAAGTTCAAAGCCATGGCCCTGCGCCTTATAACCATATGAAAGACAAGGCACATTGACCATTGATACAAGTAACCCCAAATGATTTGCATTTATGGAAAAAGGCTATTTCTCCTGAGAAAGAGTTGCCATTTTATATAAAAGAAAAGAAGATAGGAAAAAGAAAAGCACCCAAGTTTTATTTGGAATGAAGGCAATTCACAGGTCACAAAATAATTCATGCTCGAAAGGCCTGCAGAGTTCTTGCACTGTGATATCTTCGAGCCATCTTTGTTTTCACACTGCATGCACGTATAGAAAATGGAATAGTCCATTCTGTGTAACCAGTTTTGATTTTTTGAACCACCTAACTACTTGTACCCACCTGCAATTTGTAACTAGTGGGGCAGTGCCGTCCTTACACAACCACACACGTGCACAGGCACCAACTCACAGGGATTCTCCTTGCCCACGCTACCTGTGAGGCTAAAGTGACAGCCCCACAAAGGAGCTTCCACAACTTTCCAAACCGTCTCTGCTCCTTGCCTCCTTCCACCTGCTCCCCAGAAGCCCCAGGAAGGAGTTGGCCCTGATGAGAAGGGTGTTCCACGGGTGACCGTGAATCCAGCTCAGCCCTCACTCCGGTCCCATGTGTGGCCCAGTCCATTCCCAACTCCTTCCCCTGGAAAGGAAAATCATGGTTTTCAGAGGCCTCCCACTTCTAACATTTCCTAATTCAGTGGTTGCCGCTCTCCTGTGACCAGCCCTTCTTCCCACCTCATTATGAAAAAATCCCAGAAGCCAGGATCACCACTCACTTGTCTTCACATAATGGACATTTACTTAATATTTATTATCAATTTCCCCACCTCCAACCCTGTCCCTGGTACACACTTGGCATCATTTATCCAATAGGGGATTGGGAATTTTGGTGAAATGAATCAAGGCTATTCAGGGTCAAGAGGGAGATTAACTTGAATGGGCCAATTTGTTAGATTATTAATGTCTTAAAAACCAAAACCAGAGAGAAGCCCACAGCCCTGTCCTCTGTGGCTTGAAAAAGAAACCCAGAATCAGAGGAAATGAGCGATGATGCCCCCAGGGGCGCCCACTTGTGTTGGGCAGGAGGGATGGTCGGGGGGCAGCTCACCTGGCGAGGTGATGACTCTGCATTTCCCATGAACCTATATGTGACACGTACATAAATATGTATACACTTATGTTTGTAAATGTTGAATGGTTCCTTCTAGCTGTGGCTGAGTAGACGTTGGTGTTTCTAGCTTCTTTCAGTGTGTTAGCGATTGATTACATGCTAGCTATAAAAAGTAAAGTAAATATTTTACCATGCTATTAAAGCTTGGACCATTATCAAACACACACAAACACACACTCATTCTGCTGTTTAAAAATTCGTCTGCGTTCATTCTCCCAGGAGTGCCCTGGGGGGACCACAGGTTTCCCGGCACTTGAAGGCTGAACTGAGCATCAGTGCCCTGGTCCGCAGGAAGCAGGGGGATGCTGCAGGAAGGCGGCAGGCAGCCTGCATCCGGGAGGGCACAGTGACCTGTCACTCCGTTCTGCAGAAATTGGCCCAGCAATCGCGTTATGCCCATTCAAAAGATGCTTGTTCCAGCTTTCAAATGTGATGATTTCAGCCTGTGAGGACAATGCCATGTCCCCACCCTAAGCCAGCAAAATGCGAAATCTCTGTTCTGGCCCAGAATGGCACAAGGGAGGAGTCTTTTCAGAGTTCCATGCCACCCCGCAGCTTACTGTGGCCTTCGCCTGTTCTGTCTAGGATTGCCAGCTGGGGCTCCAAGTGAGGAGCAAATGCATTTTATGAGCCATGTTCCTGCGGAGACCTGATGGGCCAGGCCCTCTGTGGCTTTGAAAGTCCCTAAGCTCTTCACATCCTTGGCCTGGGCCTTCTTGTCTGACTCAACAGCAAGAAAAATAAACTTGCCAAAATTGGCAGTAGGTGTCCTTGACACAGGGGCTTGTGATGGCATTGCCCAGAAAATGCTGGAACCAGAACTGGTCAGAGACTTTGAAGGGCACAGCCTGGCGGGCTATTCCCGAGGGTCTCAGGTCTCTGCCCACCCCACTACTCTGCAGCAAACGCTTCTCTTTTACTTGACTTCTCCCTTCAGACCTCAGCCTACAACCATCCTCTTCATGCCAGGAACCGACTGCTTCTCAGCCTCGGCTTAGGGTTTTGAGTTCACCGGAAGGGATCAGGGGTTTGCGTTAATATAAGGAATCTTCCCAGAGGGAGTTGCCCTTCATTCATCCACAAGAGTACATTGAGTTCGTTTAGTTCTTGACCAAGTAAGAAAAGAATAAAGGAGAACAAATATGGAATAATCTTTTCTAATTAATGCCTTACTACTGTTTTGAAGCTGAGCCTAAATCAAATCAATGTTTACATTTTCTATCAAGTACATATGAGCTGTGGGAGTCTAGCATATTCTTGTCCAAAAGAGAGAGACTTTCAAATGAATTCGTATTCCTCCTGGTCCCCTCCACCTATTGTGGAGGTCTGCATGTGGCGTTGTATGCTGTTTTCCAAGGTACCTCATTTAAAAAAAAAAAAACAAAAAACACTGCCTCTCATTTGTTCCCTTAAAACATCTCTCTCTCATAATTATCATTGAAATATTAAACGATCTGAAGCTTCTTTTTTTTTTCAAATAAATGTCAAAGATGGTAATAGTTTGTAAATCAGTAAATCCTCTGTCCATCTGCCCATTGTCCATGGTCCTGATAATAGAGCCAAGATGGATTTTCACATGTAAGTGGTTAGTCCATTAATCCAGCCATTAAAAGTAGTTGGGAGATTGAAGATTAGGTGGCTTCTGGAGCAACCGAATTTGCAGCTGCCACAAAACTAGATAAATGGCCACAACTGGAGTTATTTTTCGATCTCATAAACCCCAGGAATTACACACAGAATGGACTGAAAAGCAGACAAGCATGTTGTGCTATTGCAGAGACTTTTCTACCCAGCAAGTGTTGAATTTTTAAAAGAAACTTAATATTGGTGATGAAGATATGAATGGACAACTCTCTTACTTGCCCTCGATGTTTCAAGATGCCTGGTGAAACCGAGAGACCACGTGGCATATCCAAGGAGACATGTTTTCTGGGTTCTATATGAATAGAGATGGTTTAAGCCTGCAATTAAAAAAAAAAAAAAAAAAAAACGGTTGAAGCCCTGCTAACTTTTTCCCAGAGCATTCTGGGTTGATATTTCATAGTCAAACGTTTTGGCATGAGGGAAAAAAAAGCATTTTAAACTCTTAGTGAATTCAAAGCTCTAAATCCAAACAATGGTGAACACATGTACATAACATTTCATGTTTTCAGAGATATGTATGCTTATTTAAGTGCCTTTCATGTTTTAATCAATGTTTGCAGAATTTATCTTAAACCTGAGATGAATTAAAAAATCATTTACCTCCTTCAATAAAAACTGCTAATGGCATAAAATGTAAATTTCAATCTTTATAAGGTAGATATTGTCTTGGTCAACAAGATGTAGGGAAGGGGGCAATCGACTTGCACTTGGTGAATATGCATGGTGTGGACACCCATCTGTATAAGAATGAGGGTTTTCTGATCATAGATATCAGATTGGTTTCCTCAGCTGTGGTTCTCAACTGTTTCAGTTCTACTTTAGAGCAATGCAGAAATTTAAAGTCCCTAATCCAACATGTTCTATATGCCACCTTTTAACACATACGCATGTGCGCATGCCTGGGTCCTGGTCACAGAGGAGAAGGGGGTTTAAGATCCGGGGTCATGGAGAGAGTATGGGCGTGACTCCGGGTCATGGAGGAGAGAAGGGCCAGGTCCTGGGGTCATGCAGGAGATGGGGTCAAGCCTAACTGTTTAGCAGGTAGAATGCTCTGTAAAGGGAAGACGAACAGTAAGATTAGCATGACAGGGAGAGACGAACCAGTAGATGAATCGAGGCAGAACTTTCCTTATGGACAGCGAGAAGGATGAACGAGCTCTGCTGGAGGCCTCCACCTCTTGCTACATGAGGAGATGGAAATTTTCTATTGTGATTATAGTGGGATGCTCAGTGCCCCCTTCCTTCCTGGACCACAGAACTCCATATTATTTGAGCAGAAAATGTGCCCAGCTAAAACACCAA